AGTTGTTTGAGTAAATAACTGAGTTAAAATTCACAAGCCATTGCAAGCCCTAATTTGTTACAAAAGTGAGATTAGATTCAAGATTGGCTGCATGTTCTAAGTGATTCAAAAAAGAAGACTTTTTGTCAAGACAGAAGTACAAAGTTGAGTCATCAGCAAATAGAGCTACTTTAGAGGTAAAGTTGTTAGGAAGATCATTAATGTAGATAAGAAACAAAACAGGACCAAGGGTAAAACTTTGAGGTACCTCAGAAGTTACTGAAAATGAAGAAGAGTGTTGGTCTATGAGGGTGACTTTAATAAAACGGTTAGAAAGAAATGATTTGATAATCTCAAAACTTTCCCAGTTACACTGTATGAAGCAACCTTATAATAGAGAACAGTACACCAAACTCTATCAAAAGCTTTAGGTATATCAAGAGCAATAGCTCTAGATTCACCACCTTCATTTAATGCGCCATAAAATCTTTCCGTCACAGCAGTTAGCAAGTCAGCAGTAGAATGATAAGACCAAAAACTGTATTGATTGTCTGACGATAAGTCATTTGATGATACTATTTTCTGGCAAACAGGAAAAGATGCCATTTTCAAGCAAGCAGGTAATAAGATCAGTCCCATGAATAAGATGTGGAATATCAGACTTATCTTCGCTTCATCAAAAATGTTAAAAAGACTTAAATAAATTTTTTTTTTCGATGTCACATTGAAATATTTTTATGCTATTGAAATTCTGAAAATGCCAACAAAACAATTATTCCCTTTAGCAATTTTAAAATTGTTACCTCATGTTTTTTTATCATCTAAATTTTTATAATAGAACTAAAATGATTTTTTATTTCAAAGTTCTATAAGTTGTGTCTAATTTTTTGTTATCAAAATTCTAAAAAATGTATCAAAACAATTTTTTACTTTCAATTTTTTGAAAATTGCTTTGAAATGATTATTTTAATTTATTAATTCTACAAAGCTGTATCTAAATGTTTATTAATATTCTAAAAATTAGATGAAACTATTCTTAAAATCTCCCACTTCACACCCTTTTTAAATATGCTCTTCAGAATGGATATGGATGGCTAGATTTAGCTTTGTTATTAAATTGCTTATTTTTCCTATGTGCTTCAGTGTTTTTTTTTTTAAGTTTTGGTATGGTCCTCACCTAAATTGCAAAAATGCCAGAGGTGGAGATCTAATCTTTCAGAGAGAGGCCGTCCTCTAATAATCTGCTTGTTTACTATAACAATAGTTTCATTGACGCTTTATTTTACATAATGAATTTATAATAAATTTCTACATTTAATTTCTGCGCAAAATTTATTTTGACTGCATTAAGTATATCGTCAAAAACTACCAATATTAGATTTCATATATATATTTAATTAGTTTCCTGTTTTCTTGTTTTTCACAAAGTTATATGTTTATTTTTTCAGTTTTGCAGAAAAATTGTTTGTTGTTTTTGTTGCATTTAATTACTTTAGAATAATTTAATTTCATAAGAAAAATGCCTGCTGGGCTGATTTTCATCTTGTGTTCATATAAAAAATTTTCAGCGTGCTTGACCAGACCCAGTTGTCTGTAGGCAAAATCTTGGCTAGGAAAGATACAAATACAATGTTGAATATGAGTTAACCGAGAAAAATAACCAAGATTTTGCCTACCTTATAAAAATGATTTTTATAAGGTAGGCAAAATCTTGGTTATTTTTCTCGGTTAGGTGGGATATTCTTCATCCTTGTGAATAATTCTAAAAATTTAAAATTTTCAAAACAGATATATAGAATCTTTCAATAATTCTCTATGAAGGAATTTTGAAAATTCTAAATGGGGACATGTTCTCAATAACTTTCTTTAGATCAAAATCGCTATGATAAAGATTTTCCAGTTAGTTAGTCTACAAACGTTATGAAAATATGTAATACATAAGTAAAACATAATAATATGTTTTACTTATGTATTACATATAAAACTATGCATTACATATGTGTATTACATATAATACTATGAATTTCATTACAACGGATTACAACAGAGTTACATATAATACTATGAATTACAATACACTGGATTACAACAGAATTACATATAATACTATGAATTACAATACACTGGATTACAACAGAATTACATATAATACTATGAATTACAATACACTGGATTACAACAGAATTACATATAATACTATGAATTACAATACACTGGATTACAACAGAATTACATATAATACTATGAATTACAATACACCGGATTACAACAGAGTTACATATAATACTATGAATTACAATACAATGGATTACAACAGAAGTAATACAATTTTTTGCAATCATTTGCAAAAAATGACCTTAGTATCAATCTTAATAAAAATTTATGAAAATGTAGTAAAGTAGAAAATATAAATTTTTTTTATATAAATAACATTTAAATTACTTTTTCATGACTTACTTTAAAAAGTATTTTATATTAACAAATAACTTTTTTATCATAATTACTTTTAATTGTAAAAATGAATTACTTTTTTTAGTTAAAGTTGAGCATTTTTAAAATTAAGTCGGTCAGTCAGTGCATTTTATTTTTTATTAAAGTGTTTATGAAACATTTATGTAAAAAAAAATTTGTTTATTTTTTTTTGAAAAATGATTTAGTTAATTCATATTCTTTTTTTTTTTTTGAAATTAATTTAACTTTTTGAAATTCAATTTATTTTTTAAAATTAATCTAGCTTATAGAAATTACTTTTTTTTTCTAAATTAATTTCACTTTTCAAAATTCAATTTAAGTTTTCGAAATAAATTTGGCAAAAAAAAACAACACTAAAATAAGTTCCACTTTAAATTATTATTTTTATACTAATAAAATATTTTACTTTGAAAATTTTTACTTAAAAAGTATTAGTTTACATTGTAATTTTTTATTTTGTTTAAACCTTAATTTTTAACAAAATTAAAAAGGTACGACAAAAAAAAGTCATACAGTTTAAAAATAAGTATCCTCCTTTGACCTTGATGATCTCAGCTAAATGATATGGCATTGTCAATTTTTACTTAAAAGTATTAGTTTACATTGTAATTTTTTATTTTGTTTAAACCTTAATTTTTAACAAAATTAAAAAGGTACGGCAAAAAAAAGTCATACAGTTCAAAAATAAGTATCCTCCTTTGGCCTTGATGACCTCAGCTAAATGATATGGCATTGTCAATTTTTTAGTAGATGGTTGCAAGTTGGCTTTGAGAGTTTCAAAATACATTGAAGCATCCGTTTTGTCATCAATAAATGTCAATTTCCTCCCTTCTTTCCAATTCATACTACCCCAAACCATCACATTTCTTCCTCCATGCTTACACTACCTTGCAAACAACTCAATTCATAAGTTTCTCTTTTTTTTTTTTTTGCCATACTTTCTGGACTCCATCTGATGAGATGAGATTGTATTTTGACTTATCTGACCCCAAAATTTTTTTCCAATATGATATCAACATTTATTCGTACTTTTTTCAAACTCCAATCAATGTTTCATTTGTTTTAAAGTTAAAAGCGATTTTTTTCAAACTACTCTATAACATTGTTCTCTAATGCGATTTCTGATTGAGGAGTTACTATGATGTTGTGATCTTCTTGAGGAGTCACTATGATGTTGTGATCTTCTTGAGGAGTCACTATGATGTTGTGATCTTCTTGAGGAGTCACTATGATGTTGGGATCTTCTTGAGGAGTCACTATGATGTAGTGATTTTCTTGAGGAGTCACTATGATGTAGTGATTTTCTTGAGGAGTCACTATGATGTTGGGATCTTCTTGAGGAGTCACTATGATGTAGTGATTTTCTTGAGGAGTCACTATGATGTAGTGATTTTCTTGAGGAGTCACTATGATGTTGTGATCTTCTTGAGGAGTCACTATGATGTTGTGATCTTCTTGAGGAGTCACTATGATGTTGGGATCTTCTTGAGGAGTCACTATGATGTAGTGATTTTCTTGAGGAGTCACTATGATGTAGTGATTTTCTTGAGGAGTCACTATGATGTTGTGATCTTCTTGAGGAGTCACTATGATGTAGTGATTTTCTTGAGGAGTCACTATGATGTAGTGATTTTCTTGAGGAGTCACTATGATGTAATGATCTTCTTGAGGAGTCACTATGATGTAGTGATTTTCTTGAGGAGTCACTATGATGTTGTGATCTTCTTGAGGAGTCACTATGATGTTGTGATCTTCTTGAACTTTTAAAGCTAGTTTAGCTAACAAAACAAATCTATTTTTCTTTACATTAATGATGATATTGTGATCAATTGGTGGTCTTGTGTTTTTGTCCTCTGCCAGCCATGATAGCAATGGTTCCAATCAGATCATGCTTTTAACAATTGAGGACACTGTGTTAAAAAGAATTCCTGTTTCTTTTTAGATTTCACAGTTAGATTTTCCTTGGTTTTTTAAATTGACGATGAGGCTTCGTTAATGGAAAGACTGAAATTTACTTCGTAAATGTTATTTGTAAGACTGAAAAACTATATATTATTTCATTTCTAGGACGAAAGTGTATTTAAAAAATTTCAATTTTATTTACTAGTTGATTGTTCAATTCGCTTGCTAAAAAAATGACCTATTCTGTGATTTTTTTTGTTTAAAAACCTAAATTTTGTTAGTGTACGATTATTTTTTTTGCAGTCAATTCTATGCATCATTGTGTCAAATTCCATAGGTTATAAAAGCAATTAATTCACCAATACACAAATAAATTCTTAAAAAAATGCTTGATAAGATATCAAAAAAAAATTCAAATATTTTAACAGGCAACTCATTTTTTTGATGCAATCTTTAAAATTATGATTTTTTGTTATCTGTACAATTAATTTTTATGCGTACTGTATATAACAAGTAAATAACTTCTTTAAAATTCTTTAACATTCTTTAACATTCTTTCTTCTTTTTTTCTCCCTATTATTTTATTTGTTTACAATTTGTTTCTCTAGTTGTTTTTTTTTTTACATAAAAAGTTAATTTAATTTTAGAACTCATCCAATCATTGGATTTATTTGTCCAACAAAAAACAAAAGATCTTTGGGATTCAACATTTTCAAAAATGATTTCAAATGTTCAAAATTCAGAAGAGTATTGCAAATTAGTTCAAGATTGGGTAAAAGTTTTTTTAAAAGTAAATGAAACAAATGAATGTGACGATTTGCAGTCATCTTGGGCTAGCGTTTATCATTCTTTAATTCATTCTCCAGCTTTAGAACAACTTTTGCAGTTAGAGCATAACTTTGCTCTAGCAATAAAAGAGTTGAATAAACAAAAAGATTGTCAAATTGAAGATTTAAATGAAAGGTGAACTTATATAATAAAACTCCCAAACGAGTTTTTTTATTAACATATTTGATGTCTAGTTTCTTGTTTCATGTACTAAGGAAATTATTATTTTCTGTCTTTTTTTTTTTTTTTTAAGGACATTTTAAATTTACTAATTACAAATTTATCACAAATGTTATCAAATTTTAGTTATTATAAAGTTATTATCATTTTTATTATTATTAGTTATTATTATCTTTTTTATTATTATTTGTTTTTATTACTTATTACAAGTTAAGCCCTGTACTACCAGGAATACCGTGGAAATCAAACTCAAAACTTTCTTGCTTATGAAGCAAGCGCTCTACAAGCCACAGTACATCTATCGCACCAATATCTTTATAAAAAAATATCTTTATAAGAAAAGCAAAGCTGAGTATTGCAAAAATTAAGAAACAAACAATAACCAGGCTCAAGTTATTTTAACATGTTATTAGGGTACATAGAAGATATAAGAAAAACTGTTTATAAAACTTGAAACACTTTTCTAAAAAATTGAAAACTATATTGACTTCAACTTTATACACTAAAAGTATGTAGGAATGTATAATGGCTGCAATAGTAATTGTTTTAAATTTTTAAATAGTTTTACAAAAAGTAACAAACAAATAAATTAAATTTGTATTTTATTTATTTAAATTTGATGGTATTTGGGATAAAAATTATTTAATACATGCTATTCCTTGATTTATTTTTTTTTTACTTCTTTAATTGTTATTATTATTTTTATTGTTTGTTTATATGCAATTTTTTTTTAAACAAATTGGCTCCCTACAAGGCTTACAGCAACCACTAAGTTGGAATTTAGTAAAAGTTTGAAATTAACAGAAATAAAAATAGTTCAAAAGCATGAAAGCGGTCGACAGAAGACAAAAAACTCTATATTTTATGAGTCAGGAAAACATGAAGATGGGAGAGAATTCCATAGTATTCATTATTAAAGAAATTTAAACAAAAGTGGTAATAAAAAGATGAATGGTAAATTAAAAATAAAAATAAATAAAAAGATGAATGGTAAATAAAAAAAACGGTAAATAAAAGCATAAAGTAGAGGAATATTGAGAAGATAAATTGAGAAGACATAAAGTAGAGGAATATTCCAACAGTTATTAACAGTAAACAACTAAAAAAATTTTTTTTAATTTACTAGCCGCTGGAAGCCCCAAACTCTCACAGAAGCCCCATATTCTCACAGTAAAAAAATAAACACCAAGATCTGCAGTCTGTTCTAAACAATCAAAAAGTAATTAATTTTTGTCAAGGCTAGAGTATATAGTTCATCAGCAAATAGAATTACTTTTTGTCAAGGCTGGAGTAGTTCATCAGCAAATCAACTTTAGAGGCTTTAGATTATAAGGAAGATCAATAATATAGATGATATCATCTAATAATATCAGACCAAGAATGGAATCTTTTGATATTCCAAAAGTTACTGGAAATAAATGAGAATGCTGTCAGTTAGAAAGAAATGATTAAATAATTTAAAAACTTTCCCAGATACAACATATAAAGTCCAGAAATATTTGTAACAACATATAAAGTCCAGAAATATTTTTAAAGAATAGATTAAAGTATTTGATAGTAATGATGGCTTTTTTTGTTTAATATTTTTAGATATTTTTTTCATGTTTTTAATTAATAAAGAACCTAACTTAATAAATAAAATAAAACACTAAGCAATAAGCTATGCAATTGCCTTATTTCTAGTATTCAACCCAAATATGTAACTAATTTCTTTATATGTGGCCTTAACAACACACTAAAAGCACTAACAGGGATACCTTCCATTATGCAATATAGTACTGTTAATACAATATTACTTTACAACTTCTGATGGAATCAGCCTTTATAAGTGCTACAACAGAATTATAGAAATCTTACTACTAACTGAGAACCTCACTATTGGTCTCAGAACCTCACTATTGGTCTCAGAACCAATTAACTAAATTTTAAAGCTGTAGTTTCTTAAGGAGCTAACAAAGTTCATTTTATAGCCAATATCATAGCAGCAAACAAAAATCCATGGGTAGAGTCAAGAAGATCTTATGTTCAATCATCCTAGACAGGAAGTAATGTAATGCAGGCGTTCAGGTACCCCAATCTATTAAATGAAGAAGGGATGTGAGGATGTGCAGCTGGTTAAAAGAAATTTTTTTTGCTTACTCTCTAAAATCTTTGCATTGTAAAATTCTACACAACAGTAGCCAGGTGTTGTTTACATCCGTCGATGGTGAATATTTTGTTAGAATATCATCTAGTCTTTTCTTATTCAAGAGCCCTGAGGCAGGTTTCAATTCAGAGCTATCCTCTTCCAGCCTTTGCTTTAAAAAAGGAATCCTACAAGGTAGTAGGACATAAGGCAGAATAGGACTAGACTACATGTTACCAGTAGCAGGGTGATCATCCTAATCCTGACTTGATAATTAAGTTTGTGACTTCCAGACAACCTAAAATTACTTTTTGATTTTTTTCTGTTCTCTAAAACTAGCTGTGGAAAAAAAAAAATTAAAAAAAAATTTTTCAACATGAAAAAAGTGAGGCTTAATCTATATTTCATAAGTTTATTCTTTGTTTTTATCTTTTTATTTTTAAAAATTTCTTATATTTAAAATTTCATTTAACAAAAGATTGTTTTAATATAGGCATGTTGCTGAAATGGAACAAATGATCTCAAATGTTGGTGACACTCGAAATGATAGTGACGTAAATGATTTAGCTGCTAAACAGTTAGATGAATCACAGGTTGTTAAATATTTTAGTTGAGTTAAAACCATTTTTTTCTTTTTTTTTTTTTTTTTTTTTTTTTAATATCATTTTTTTTTAAATTATTATTTTTATAAATTTGAATTGTTTTATTTTTCATGGTTTTGTTTGGTTTTTCAATATTTTTTTCCATGGTATTGTTTGGCTTTTCATAGTTTTGATTGCTTTTTTATATCTTTGTTGCTCATAGTTTTTATGATTTATAATTACTAAGGTATATATATATATATATATATATATATATATATATATATATATATATATATATATATATATATATATATATTAATGATGTGCCGGGTACCCGGTTCGGACCCGGGGACCCGGCAATTCGGCTGTTTTACCGAGTACCCGGTATCGGCGATTTTGTTGCAGTACCCGGCACCGGATATCTTCAAATTGATTTTTCTTTAAATTTAAACTTTAACCATTAAACTTCTTGATATAAATCTAAGAATGTTATGTAGTCGATAACCACAAAGTTCTATTAACTTAAAACAATCTCACTTAAAATAATTTTTAATACATTTTTGCAAAAAAATTTATACGGATACAAAAACTGAAATGCTAAATGAAATAATTCAAGAATACGAATAAAAAAAATAAGAAAAAAAGTTTTAGAATAGCTTCTTTTTATTCTGTTAGAACACAAGATAATTTTTAGCAATTAAGTTTTGAATAAAACGCTTATAATACTTTCGAACGCTGATACCACTTTTCATTCGTATCAAGCAAAAATCATAAAATATTAGGTAAATATTATACACATTTTTTATATTTTAATTTTGATAATATTTATAACAAAATATTATTTAGGCCCGCTCCACCAGGTAAAAAAAATAATTTTAAACTAAATATAGTTATTAAAAAACTGTTGCACAACTTTTGAAAAAAGTTAGGCTCTACAACTCAGGTCCCTTACCCTGCATTGCGGGGTTTTGCTAAATGGTACTTCCGCCACATAACTTTTGGTTAGTTAGCGTAAAAAGCGTATTTTGTGTGAATAGTTCAGCGCTTGAGATTTCACAAGTTTTTATTCCAACTTTTTAAAAATGAATTCGGTGCCGAGTACTCGGACTCGGACCAGGTTTTTTCAGCCGGGTACCCGGAATCGGAGACTCGGCATTAATTTCGCTTTGGTCTCCCCTCACTACGCTAATGTTTAGGAGTGTTTGTTGCACATATTGCTTTATAATACATACCATCGATATATCAATGACATATTTTTAGTATGGTATATTATACCATTTAGAGAATGTTTTATTTACCGGAATGATAATTAATGCCAATTTATATAAAATCTTATTTAGTAGTCAAATAAAAAATGAACTACCATCACAAATCTGGATCTCAAAAAAGGAAAGAAAAATTGTTGAGATTGATTAATGTTAATGAAAAACAAACTCTACTTCAAAGTTATGGATTTTCAGTGTCTTCAAAAGAGAAAGATTTAGAAAATGAATATCATAATGTAAAAGCTAATTTTAACAATAACGACAACGTTGTTGAACAAGCTGCAGATTTAATAAATGTGACTGCCGACTTTCCAGATCCTGATAACATAGAAAATAAAGATGACATGGAGCCCGGCAATCTTTTAGTTCCTATCAACAATATCTCTGAGAATTATAAATCAAATATAACTGATAATAAAATTACTAAAACAAAACTGCTTGACTTTGATGTTGGTAGTCTAAAAAATGAAAGACCAAATACTTCTGAAATTGAGGAAGCAGTTCGTATGGGGTCCAGAAAAGATCCCATCTCAATTTCCAAAAGATGTGAACGGACATTTATTTCCTGTTTGTATACTACATACAAGTATGAAAAATGGAGAATATGTTCCCCGTGATTGGCTTGTTTGGAGCAAAGTTAAACAATCAATGTTTTGTTTTCCTTGTTGTCTTTTTAGCAAACTACCAACAGCAAGTCGTTCATGTTTAACAGCTATATCTGGGTATTGTTTTCAAAGAAATTGGAAAAAATTACATGACAAAATTCCAGAGCATCAAAACAGCAGCAACCATAAATATTGTTATATTAAATGGCGGCTATTGGAAAAAAGTATTGACTCTAATTCCACTGTCGATATTATGCTGCTGCAGACCGTTAAGAATCAAGCATCACAGTGAAAACAGGTTCTTCGCCGAATTTTAGATGTCACATTGTTTCTACCTGAACGAGGTTTGGGATTTAGAGGAACAAGTGATTTAGTTGGAGTTGCAGCAAATGGCAATTTTTTAGGCATTTTAGAGCTCTTGAGCCATTATGATTCTGTCTTGAAAGACCTACTGAACAAAGTGATGAAGTCGCAGAAAGTGAAGAGAAGACAATAAGCAAAATACCTTTCACCGGAAATACAAAATGAGTTTATAGAGTGTTGTGCCAAAAAAGTATTAGACGTTATTCTAAATGAACGAGAAGCAGCAAAATATTACTCAATACTTGTTGATGCAACCCCTGATTCAGCACATATGGAACAAACTGTATTTATATTGCGTTATGTTTATTTAAATGAAGAAAATAGTCTCTACGAAGTTCAAGAGCGATTTTGTTGACTGCAATCAGAAAATGGGGAAAGCTATTGCTGAATTAATTTGCAGTGTTATTAAAAAACACAATATACCAATGATAGACTGTTGTGGTCAAGGTTATGACAACGGTAGCAACATGAGCAGCCAATATAAAGGAGCACAAGCAGAGATAATTAAAGAGAACCAATTGGCAATTTATTCTCCATGTGCTTGTCATAGCTTAAATCTGTGTGGTGTCCATGCTGCAGAGTGCTGTGCGGAAGTTTAAGTGGTTTAAAGAGTGCTATCCAAGCACTCTTTAAACCACTTAAAGAAGCTAAATCTTATTGCCGAGACTCGATCAGATATCAAACGTATTGAGAAATACTTGGGTTCATTTGAGTGCATTATACTCGCAAGCACTTGGTTTAAAGTTCTAACAAGCATCAATTACAGAAAAAACAGTTCTGCAAGCCAGAGATGCAACTTTAGATGTGGAAGTTTTAAATTTAAAAAGCTTAATTGATGACCTCTTATTATTGAGAAACAACTGGGATTCAATTTTAAATGAATGTAAACTTGTTGCGGAAAATCTAGGTATGGTTTCCAATTACATATTCTCGGAGAAAAAACGCAGCTGAAAAGTTAGATTTTCAGATGAGGAACAGAATAATAAATTAGGCAACACCAGTGCAGAATTTTGTTTCAAGCGTGATGTTTTTTATGTTCTTTTAAACTGTGTCATTGGTAATATGAATCGGCGTTTTAAGGCAGCCAAAGATCTTGAGGAAACATTTGGTGTTGTATGGAAATACATGACAGATAAAATTCTGCTGCGTGAAAAAGCTTCATCTATTTGCGTTAAATACAGCATTGATGTTTCTCTCGATTAAATAGACAAGTTAGAACATTTAAAGGCAACTCTCACATCAAATCTTGGCATAATACAATTATCGCTGTTTCAATTATTAAATAAACTCCATGAGTTGAAGCTTAATTTTCTTTTTTTTTAAAATTTTTTTTAACATCTTTGCTTCCAACAAGGCTGCAAGCAACCACTAATTAGTGTTGGAAGTTACTGGAAGAGAAAAAATGAAGATTGTAGAGCAAGATAACAATTGACAGACAACTTAAAAGATTGCAAGTTATATAAATCAGGAAAGCAAGATGAAGGAAGCGAATTCCAAAGAACTGATGTTCGAGGAAAAAAACTAGACAAATAAGAGTTTTTGGAGCGCACTTAGGAACAGTAACAGAAAAAGAATGAGACTTAATTGAATGACGATTAACACGAGAATGAATTTTAGTAGATGGCACAAGAGACGCTAGCTCTTTAGAGCAGTGCCCATTATAGTATTTGTAGAAAAGAGAAAGAGAAGCAACATTACAACGATGATTACAAGAGCAGGTCCAACTATGTTTACAATGCGTTTTTGCACCTTGTCTAAAAAAGAAAGGGCATCATTAGAAGATCCACCCCAGATATGGCAACAGTATTCCATACAAGGCCTGATTTGAGTTTATAGAGATAGAGAATAGAATCTAGAGTAAGAAAGTGTCGAGCTTGATAAAGAGAAGCGACTTTAGCAGATGCTAATTTTGCAACGGATTTGATATAAGGTTTCCAAGAAAGATCAGAAGTAAGAGTTAATCCTAGAAGATGAAGGGTAGGAGACTCATCGAGTACATTACCGTTCATAAATATAGGAAGATCTAAATTATTGCGATAACGATTGGCTGAAAAAAATTGAGTTTTATCTGAATTAAAGTTCACCAGCCACTGTGAGCCCCATGCTGTAGCAGAAGTTTTCCCAAACATTTTAGTTGTTCTTAGAATTTTTTGTACACTTTCAGTTACCGTTGCACAAGCAGAACGCCCTTTCAGCACGCTTGCAAGAGTTAAAAATGTTTTACGTTCTACGATGTGTCAAGATCGACTTTCTAATTTGGGAAGACTAGCGATTGAGGCGCCACTTGCAAGGAAACTAGACTTTGATGCAGTTATCGAATTTTTGATGCAGTTACTAGATTTTTGCAAGCAAAAAATCTCGCAAAGCTTATTTTGGTTAATTGCAGTACAATTAAATACAATTATTTATTTTGAAGAATTCAAAATATTCTTTTTTTTTAAAGAAAACCAAAGAATATATTTGTTTGTATGTAAAACTCTCTTAAAGAAATTAGAGTCTTTATTAATACTTTTTACTTTAATTTACATTCTCTTCTTTTTTATATTATATCAAGTTAATTACTTATAGTTAAAATATTAAAGAAAAGGCTACTTAATTAAAAAGCTTTTTATTACAAAATTTTTTGCTAAACAAACTTAGCAGTGGCCTTGCTTGCCAAAGTTCGTGTTTTTTAGTTAAAGAGTTGAGAGAGGGTTGTCAATCTAACTAAGTAAAGACAATGAGGCCAATCTAACTAAGTAAAGACACATCTAGTCCTAGACTTTAAGATTGATTT